CACACACACACACACACACACACACCCCGGGGCCTCCCAAACACACACACACACTCCCCAGGTTCAAGGCTCTCTTGCATCATATGGATTCCACCCAGCAGCTCTTCCCAGGAACCTAGCTGTCAGAGCCCCTGTGAGAGCCTTTTCTCTTTAATAATAGATTACATTCTGCAGGCCTCCATCCCCCTTTTGAGGAATTCATCTTAAAAATGTATGGGAAGCCCTGTTGCTGACACCAGACTCTGTTGGCACGTACATCTCTATTTTCTATGTCCGCCATGTGTTTGCACACCCCACACCCACCCACCACACACGGCACTTCTAACATGCAGCCTGCAGGCGTCCGTGCAGGCCTTGTCCAGCCCGTGTCTGTCTCTGCCAGTCACACAGTCCAGGGATGGGGCTAGGGAGCCGTCCGGCTGGTACATGTCCTCTTATCTAGCCTAGTATTCAGCGTCTGCCACAGGTTGATGGGGAACAAATTCCACACGTGGGTTTCTCTCCACTCCGATCAATTCCTTTTACTTGTTCCCAGGCAGCCTCCTGGTACATTTCAGCATTGCTGCTCCCGTCACCTTAGAGATTTAGTGAAAATGTGACTCTTTAGTCCTCGCCGGCTTGGCTCAGTGGATAGAGGATCGGCCTGCGGACTGAAGGGTCCCGGGTTCGATTCCAGTCAAGGGCACGTACCTCGGTTGCAGGCTCCTCCCCCACCCGGGCCCTGGTCGGGGCGCATGCGGGAGGCAACCAATCGATGTGTTTCTCTCACATTGATATTTCTCTCTGTCTTCCCCTCTCTCCTCCCTCTAAAAATCAATGGCCTCAGGTGAGGATTAAGAAGAAGAAAAAAAATGAGCACTAGCTGGTTTGTCTCAGTGGCTAGAGCGTCAGCTTGCAGACTGAAGGGTCCCTCCCAGCTTTGATTCCAGTCAAGGGCACATGCCCAGGTTGTGGGCTCGATCCCCAGTAGGAGGCGTGCAGGAGGCAGCCAAGTAATGATTTTCCCTCATCAATCACTTATGTTACTTTTAAAAAAAAAAAATCTTTTGAGATGATAGAACTGGTCTGTGCCATCTAATGCAGTAGCCCTCGCCCAGATAAAAATATATATATATTTCAGAGAGGAAGGGAGAGGGAGAGAGATAGAAACATCAGTGATAAGAGAATCATCGGCTGCCTCCTGCACGCCCCCAACTGGGCATTGAGCCCACAACCCGGGTATGTGCCCTTGACAAGAATTGAACCCGGGACCCTTCAGTCCACAGGCCAACGCTCTATCCACTGAGCCAAACTGGCTAGGGCATCACTGATGTTTCTATGCCTCCCTCCCAATCCCTTCCTCTGTGAAATCAATAAAAAAACATATTTTAAAAAAATGTGACTCTTCGCCCTTTCCATGTCCTTCATAAGAACAACCCAGATGTTTCCTTCCAACCCCTCATCTTATAACAAGTCCCGATGTCGGTGGCCTATTCTCTCCTGCGGAATGTCTGCATGAGGTGTGCGCTGTCTCCAGGTCCTCTGTCGGGTGT